TATTTTTATACACACGACTAAATAATAACATTTTCCACATGGTAAATGTATATTTTAAGCACAAACAATTGTTAGGTATTTAAAATATTATGATCATGTTGTACCACATAAATATAGATAATGAACGAATACTTATAATATAAGTACATATAAATATATAATACAATAATATAACCCAAAGAAACAAATATATATATATATATATATATATATATATATATATATATTATATATATATATATTTAAACTACTACTCAATGATATTATAGACGTGTAACGCGTTAATCTTTATATATGAGCTAAATTTATTGTCTTAAAATAACAAACACCTTCAATGATAATGAAAAACAATTACACCTACGTTAGAATGAAATATATTTAATATATAGTATATAAATTCCGTTCGAAAACCCATCGTGTACCTAGCCTTCAGTAGTTTAGTGAACACATGCAGAATTATATGTGAATACGATTAACATTTAGAATTTTAGTACCTAGTGAATACTTCGGTATGATTTATTTAAAAACGATTATATAAATAATAATAAGGTTAATCAGATGTGTATAAAATATTAAAATATAATTACTATAGCCATCAGTGAAAGACTGGCATCTTGAGGCCCGGATTGCGATCGTTTTTCATGGGGCTCTCGCGAGAAAAAAAAAACCATTTAATTATTCACTACAATATGTTAGAATAAGTTTACTGAATTCAATAGCAACGAGTAAACCTTAAATAATAGAGAAATACCTTTTTTTATTTTCCTATTTTCATAAACATTGTAATTAATTAAATTAATTAAAATAACAACTATTATTGTAATCACTTGAGCCAATTACCAGTAATAATATAAAAATAGTAATGTAAATTCATTTTTTAAATGTTTTCAAAGAAAAGAACATTTTATAATAGGTTTACAAATCTTCTAAAAACAAATTATTTGCATAAAATTATATTTAAATGATTTTATTAAACATAACGTTTATGTGAAAAATATTATATATTACTTATGAAAGGAAAAGATTTTAAGACTACTAGAATTCTAAATTTTTTGTATCTATGGATGGTTCTAAAATTGTTTATTATACAAAATATAATATTAATAGCCAATCGGTATAATTATTTAAGGTTCATACAAAATACAAGTAAATCTTTAAATAACATCATACCACATATAGTCAATAAATAATAACTGTTTGTCAAAGAAGTTTGTTAATTTTCAGAATTACATCAATATGAATGTCACCTCTCAATATTTAATGACAAAACTGAAAGCTATCATCACTGTATAATGACATAATGTACTAATACTATTATACTACCCACCTAGTTAGACAGCACTACGGTAGTACTTATATATTATAAGATATATCTGATATAACCTAGCTAAGATAACTGATAAGGTATACTTATATATATATTTTAAATGTATGATGTCAACACAAATATAAATTTCAGACCCAGGTGAGGTCAATGCTAGCAAGAAGCGATCACATCCAGGCCTCTCTTGCCAGTTAGCCATTCTCCACACTGCCACAGTGAACAATGGACATGTAATTTCAGATACCGTAAGTAGATATTATTTTAAAAATTTTAAATAAATCACATTATTGATCAGCAGGATTTGCACGTCGTCCATGTCATCAGAGCAGGAAGGTGTACTTAGACAGTTAAGTTTTGGTATTACATTCTAAAGTGATTAAAATCAATCATCGCATTTTAAAAACGAATCTGAGTGGTAGTCGGTGTTAAAACCAGCACTCATCGAAATTTCTTTAACGTGTTTTATCGATGTAGTTTTTCCTATAAAGCAACTAAGTACACGTGAAAATGGAATACCATTATTATAACAATTTAGTAAAATTTCTTTGCTACATGAAACTTTCCGATCACTTCTGTCGTACGTGTGCGGGAATACAAAACCTCTTAAAACCTTGCCATGTATTCCTTACTTCACGAAAAATCTCAAACAACGAATCAACAAAAAAAACCATAGTGAAGTAGTTAACAAAAATTACTTGGTAATTGTAAAAAAAAAACAATGTTTATTTATTAAATTATACATCCCCCTGCCGTTCTTTAATTAAAAACGATTAACTATGTTATAACAGTTGTTCATCGTGTTATCTAAGTAAACTGGTTAATAAATATAATACAACCAAAATGATTCTATGTTTCTATAAATTTTAAACACGATTCATTAGCATATCAATGATACACGCTGTCACATACTATAAATTACGTCATCGTGTGTTTATTACTTATTAATAAGAATATATAGATAAAATGGTCATGAAAAATAATTTATTAATTTTAAAAAAATCTGATCATAGTTTTCAAATACTCAATCATAAAAAGATTGTCGATAATCCAATAAAGTTGTAATAATAACAAATTATGTACTTGTGTAATTACATTTTAAATTCGCTAGTATAGTTCCCAGTACTTTACCATTATGCTTGTCGGTATTCTAATTTTTCGTTTTAAACATAAAAATATATTTATAGATATGATTTAATATGAAGTACTCTTAAAAAGTAATTTATATTATAAGAGTTACATCTTTCTATTAAGTATATTCATTTTTGTAATACCTGAAGATAATTTATTTACTAAAATGATGAAATTTATTATACTTATAAAATCAGCTTGTGCAATATTTTTTTTGATAAAAAAAATTTTAGTCATAATTCTTTTAAATAAAATGTATTCAAAGTAATACTGTTTTTATCGCCTATGAATTCAACTTTCTACTACTAAAGTGCATTAAAATATTTAGTGTACTTATACCTATCCCTATTGCACGTTACAAAAGAATCATTATACCTTTAACAATGGTATACCATTATTAGAACGCTGTATGTTTTTTTCGTTTTAATAAATATCCTAAATAGTAAATACCCATGCTCCGTTTAGAATTAGTACAATTTGCTTATTAATATGCTAATAAAATTAAACTTATTTCCTACATTTTGGGTACAATGTATTTATGTTTAATATCTATCTACAAAATTATGTATAGAATATAGATTCTCAACTCGATTCTAAACATTATAAAATACATTTGAAAACTTAATATCTACAGTTAAGAGTTATAAAAGTATTCTACTAACTATTTGTTTTTATTGAAAAAATTATTGTATAAAAGTATGAGCTGTTAAGTATTAATGATCAGTGTCCAGTGATACACAAATTAATCAGTGGCATGTACAACAATTTACATAATAAATATACATTTCTTAATGAAACTAAAAATAATGGAAGTTATTTAATAAAATCATTGTGTTTTTTACCTTCTTATTTAAAAACGTATATTAATAGAAATGCACATAACGTATATTATTAAAAAAATATATTTAATAAGTTAAATAGAAATGAAATGTTAATAAATCAATAATTTATTTAAATAATTGTTATTAAAAAAAAATAATAGTTAAAAATTAAAATATTAATAATTAATAAATACAAACTTCAATGATTTATTTTCACCACAATATAAATTATTTTAAGAAATCCTAGGTCATTATAATAATCCATGTTTCATACTTTCATCACATAATTATTAATTAGGTACCAATATACATATTATCATTTTTCACTTGTTAATATAAAAGATAATAACTAGCATTAATTAGCATAATAAAAATTGTATTTTAAAAAATATCGATGGGTAAATATATAACGAATAAGTAAAACAAATGTTAAAAATGTTAATACTGATAGTATAGCTATATCAGACTTAGACGTAATAAAAAGCTTAATCATTACTGCGTTTTATATTATTATTTATTACACTTTGAATTTAAGTTAAATTAAAAGTTTTTCTTGTTATAGTATACTGTTTGACTATACTAAAAAATGTAAAAAAAAATTATTTTAATAACCATTATGTATAATTTATATATTTTTAATTTACATTTAATAGCTTTTTCTAATAGAACTATTAAAGAATTAAATAAATGCCCAATATAAGAGCTCTCCTAATTATAAATAGCAACCAAAATTATACAGATATAGTAATTCCCCTTACTATAATAATTTGTAATTAAATATATATATTTATTTTAAGAATGTTTTTTATTGGCATTAAAAAAGTAAAAACTTAAGCCATAGGTAGTTTAAAATATATTATAAAATATTAAATCAGAACCATAAAATATATTTTCAGAACTTACGCTCCTAAATCCTAATACGATTATACACGACGATATATTATATAGATCAGGCCTTATTTTTTAGTGAACCCCGACACAAAGTGTGTGGTCCGAAATTAGAAGTGTGCACTACGGATTTTTGATAAGTATGTACTAATGAATAAGACTATAAAAATAAATAGATTATAATTGGTAGGTAATAATGTACAATATAGTATATCTACATAGTACATATTATGTAGTATACTAATATTACACTAAATATACATAAAATTAAAAAATAATTTTTAAAAATGAAAATCTTTTATGATAAGTACCTACCAAAAATAAATTGTTTTCAGTTACATTTTAGCAAATTGATATTTACTTCTCTACATTGAATCGCTAATGAACTATTATGAAAGTTGGATACCTTTAGTTATTTATGTGTTATGATTTTGACTCTCTTAAATTTATAAAAAGTTATACCCCATATTTTACTGAATAATATATCAATTTAAATTTAAATTCTTGGTCCTCTTTGTCACTGTGTCATAATATCATTGTAATTAAAGTGTGTAGTACAATTTTTTTTTAAATATAGGGGCTGATATAGATAATAATTAATAAACAGATGGGCAGATAGGTATCTACTGCATATTTCCTATCTAATAATTTATGACAGGTGAATTAACTACTAGCTATAATAATTACAATTCTATTAAAACGTACAAAATTATTAAAAATTAAAAGTTTAAGTAAAACATATTCATTCGACGAAATATTAGCAATTTTGCGCAGTGTCAAAACTCTGGTCAAAACAATAATATGATATTATGATATAATATTTTGATCGGTATACGTACTTGTCATTATTTAACAACGAAGTTTCGGAATTTGCATCGTCGAAAAACGTGCCGTATGTGTCCTTTTCGCATATCGATGTGTTTTCGCCGTTTCCGATCATAGTAGAAAAGTGTATTGTATATGTTAAAGTGTAATTAATATTAAAATAATATTGTGCTGAAACGATATCCGACGGTTATTCGCGTGCACCGAAATGTTAATGACAACTATTTGACAACATGGTAAACGTATAAATAAGATCGACGTACAATATATTATGATGTTGTGATCGCGAGTTAATTCGATAACACGCGGGAACTTTCGACTATGTTATAATATTATATCCACTAGTTATCGATATGAACTGCTAAGTACTCGAAACACGACACAATTAATATAGTAGTACAGATAAAACTGTTGCCGCTAAAATACACAGAAATCAGAAGTTAAATTTACAATCATGAGACTGAAAATTCTGGTGTACGGTCTAATGATTGGTCTAGAATAACGAACTCCTCTATATAACGGAAATAAGTACAATATTATATTATATACCTATACAACAACCGTCGACCTTTGTTGTGATTGTGAATGTGTAGATAATTGTCCATTTCAAAGGTCGACGCATATAAGATATCAAAATATACAGAGTGATCACTGATCTGCAGCAGATACGACTATCTAACTTTTCCCTGACAGGTACTTTAAGGCAATCTCCATTCGATTGCAGTATATATCGATGTCAAATGCTCTATTTGAAAAAGTATAAAATAATTACATATTATAGGTACGTATATAGTTGATGAAGAAAACTTTATAAAACAATTGTATTTTCAATAATTTACCTAGTTTTAATATAACATATCTAATGTTTCGTGTAATGCATATTAACAAAAAAATACTTTTAATCAATCAAGTCTTCTATTAAAATTAGTATTAATAATAACTTGCAGTCACACATTTTAAAACCATAATACATTCATTACCTACTCCCTAAATGTCAATACACTAATCAACTATTTTATCGAACATGTAATTAGTTTAGGATATATTAGATTAGATGACTAAAACAATGAATAATTATTATAAATCACCCTGTATATTATGAAAATAGTACTTCTTTGCTTAACAACGCTCCGTATAATAAATGTATAATATAATTACATAAACCAACCTACATTTCGTCTAAAATAAAGCCGCTTCTTCAGAATTTAATTATAAAATTATATCATTACATAATGATGCGAAACAATATTTTCTTTATACACATATGTACTTATATTTAATAATAAAAATAGTTTCAAATTAATCGATGAATCATTTGTAAAATAATCAGTATAATGGAAACTATGAAAAATTATTACCGTCCATAATATGATGTAAATTATACAGTAAAATAAATAATAACGGCATGTAAAACTATTTGATACATAGATTATTTTATGTATTTTATGTTTGTAAAACACTTGACGAACAATAAATAATTTTATAGTGTTATCGCGAAATTTTAAACTGGTATAAAAATGTTTACTGAACAGAAACTGAGGTTTGACGTTAGGTGTATGCCAAACATTATAGACCACATTGGCGAAATTTTATAATTTTTAATTTGAAAAATATATTTACGTTGGTATAATATTTATATTAATCACATTGTATCTCTTCACAAACTAATCCATTCGTAAAAGTACATCCCCACCCCTACTCATTTCAATTTTTCACTTTTTCCAAAGCCAATATTTAGTGCTTCATTCCTGCCAATCTGCCACCATCCTGGAATTTCTGCTCAACCACGGCCCTATCGATAATTAAAAAACTCTGGGTAGGTCGGGGAAAACGGCGTTCGTGACTAAATATTAGAGTTGGAAAAAATTGAAATAGTAATTTCCCGAGCATGAGTGGAGCTGGAGAAACGTTTCCCTCACCCCACCCCGAGTTTTTCATTTTTCCGGGGCGGAGTTTGAGCAGGAATTCTGGGAGTGGTGGCAGAAATTGGCAGGGAATGAGCACTAAATATTTGAGTTAAAGTAAATTCAATTCAATTCAGTAATGGGACATAAGTATACCTAATTCAGTAATAAAAGAGCCTTGTGAATTTTGAATTATTTTAGTGGTTTTCTGTTAGTTTGTGAATATAAATATATACTATATACATTTATCTGAAAAAAATCGAAAATATGTACGTATAAGTAATGAAAAATTGGTTGCCACCCTTCCTTAAAAATTTTCTGTGGGCAGACCTGAGTCCTGTTCTGTTACTAAAATCAAATTTAAGTATTAAAAATATAAATAATAAATACAATCTTCTCTGCAGTAAATTTTTGTCAATTTTACTATTTCTTACGGGCCAATTACATTTTACTTCTATAACAATATTAATTACTCTAGACTGGGTTTATATTTTTGTAAACATGGCATTCCGAATTCTGTAAGTATAAATAATTAGATTACAAATTTAAAAGTTTATGTTCTACGTACCAAACACGAATAAGTTAAATGTATTTTAGGTGAGTCACTTGAATGAGTGTGCTAGATGTGACTATTGTAACTTAACCATTCCAAAAACATTTCTGATTCTAAAAATATTTACTGCTTTATTCAATTTTTTGGAAATTAATGTACCTACCTATCTTAATATAGGAATTCATTTGAAAAATTAGTTAAAAAATGTTGTTATAAAATTATGTAATATAATTATACAAATATTAAATGTATTTTCTATAATCTCAATAATCATAACTTTTGTCTACGTTGAAAAAATTGCGATAGAATCGTAATAAAATCAATGCAATAATATACTTCTATTAATGAGATTAAAATTAAATTAATATCATATTCAGTATTTCTACTCTGGCGGTGATAGGATCCAGGAGAGGTTAAAGTAAATTCCTTCGATTTTTATTCATAAAGGTAACATAATATTATACATTGTCTTATATTTATCTCTCTATTTTATTTCATTAACTTACAGTATGAATTATATAATATAATATAAGTGTTTGGATTTATCAATTTATGTGACCATGAAGTTGACTTTCCCATTTCATATTGTACGATTTTCCCCAAACCTTAAAAAATATTTGCAAATAATTTGCAAGTATGTATTTACAAACAAGTTTTGAGTATTTACAAGGTATCTTTGTTATTCTATAATTCGTTTTTTTTTTTTTAATTTATATTTTCTTGTTAAAACTTTAACTTAAAATAACACCCACATAATGTGATTTAGGTATACTTGCTTGTTGGTTATTTTGACTACTTTTTTAACATACTACATATTTTGACGTATAATGAATAGTTGAAAAATATAATTATTTTAATTATTAATATTTTTGTTTATAACCTCAAACGCATGACAGTCAATAATCGATAATTGGAAATCGAGATAACTCATCACTTCATCAGTTATCGGTGGTCGGAGAAAACAATTATTAATAAATACCACATTATTAATATTCCATAATATGATCTATTTTCAACCTATGCTGGTACACTGCAACCTAACCTTATCAATGCTTGGTGAATATAAGACAAAAAGAGAATTTTCCTAACGTGTATATTGTATTACTTCAAAGTTCAAATTGCTATCATAATTTCAGTAAGTATTGGAACACGCTAGCATAGTTTTTAAGCATGCCGTGAATCAAAAATTGGGTAAGGTCGTGAAGGAAGAGTATGTTTAATGTTACTTGCAACAACTGTTCAATGATATATTGATATATCTTTTGGTACCTACTCGTGTAGTATGCTACCAACCAAAAAACTGCACGCGTGTGACATTCTACTTACCGTAGGTACCTACTAATTAATTACAATTTATTAAATTAAAAATTACTTAATGTATTGCTGATAATCATCATTGTCAAGTATTATAAAATGTTATATATACGTCATATTATGTTGTTTTTACGTCATCCCAGAAAATGTAAGTTATCGTTGGCTATTGCGATGGATATTAACCAGTTATCATAATGGGTATTATAGTAAATGTTTTTATCTTAATGACTCAAGTAACAGATACTTTTAAATGAAATACAAATATATCACATAAATAAGAAAATAAATTACAATTTACAGCTATGACATATTATCCGGTAGGTAGCATAGTACACCAACAAAGAGTGGTAGGTACATGCTACACGAGTTGTACTTATATTTTTTAAATATTCAATAAGATATAATAAATAACTTAAAATCAATTAGTTTATCTACAGTTTAAAAATAATAAAAATAGTTAGGAAACATTATATATTGTTTTTTTTTTCACTTTTTATTGTTACCGATATAATATATTGTATAAGTATTTATTTATTTATGTATTTGAATAGGTACAAAAAAAAATGAATACCAAAAAAGTAAATGATCATCACTCAATTTCATAATTAATTAAAATTTTTTTTAAAGAAATAGCCTGAGATGAGGATCAATTGGTTTGATGGGTATTAGTTGGATATATTTTACGGCTCTTAACAATTTTAGTACGCCCTACAATTTAGTTCTAGTTGCGCTCATATTATTATACTCATGAATCAAAAGTGTTGACATATTATAATAATTAATCATATATAAATACCATGCTTACTGGGATAGGAAATTGTCAAAAGGGTATAATGATTGTTACCACGTGCGAGAATTTTTATAGTTCGAGTGGACTTACAGGCAGGATATCACTTGTCCACTATCCTTGATGGCTCGATCCAGTCTAAGATCATTTAAATTGCAAATATCCATCAACGAATTATGAAAAATTATAATTTACAAGACATTATCAACTGGACAGACAAACGAGATTGCGCTTTTTATCGTTCTTAAGTCTAACCGCATAATTTAATATGCCCAACAGAAATCGATCGAAAGAAATAATTTAAATAGTATATTTCTAAGTGGATTGAATAAAAAATGATATGTTTAAAAACAATGGGAGAATTTTTTGCTGCAGAAACACTTTTGAGTAACTACCTATAGTGTTTTTATGTTCGGAAATAATAAATGATTTTAGGGGAGATTTGATTGATAATAGAAGACAGAAGAAGATTATGACTTAGGAATGCCAAAGTAAAAATAATTTATCAAGATTTTCGAATAAAATTATGATCTTATAGCATTCAACGATACTCGATT